AAATCTAATTTTGTGAAAAATGTTGCATGAGACAACCTATCGAACAAGTCAACGACATTTGGGATCGAATACTTGTTCTTGATAGTCACCTTGTTCAGGACTCGATAATTTACGCACATTTGCATTGATCCATCCTGTGGTCGAGGCACCTTAGGGGGCTTTCAACGGCAAAATCAAACTTGATTTTAGAAGTTCATCCAACTGCTTTCGCAACTCAGCCAGTTCTATTGGCGCCATCCTATATGGTTCTTTAGATGAGAGCTTGACTTGAGCTTATGGTCAATGGCTCTACGGGGTGGAAGAGTTCTCGACAAGTTTGGAGGCATTAAATCACTATAATCTCCAAGAACTTTGGCCATGGCACCTGATACTTCCTCATACTTATTGGGCTTAATTTCAATAAGGCGGCCACATAAGTTACTTCTTCTCTCCAAAGACTTGGTTTAAGCTGTTGGGTAGAAATGACTCTCTGACTAATTTCACCATGACCTGCAGTTACAACATGCACGAAAAAAGGGGACTTCTCATCCGCTTTTAGAATCCCATTAGCAAAGGGCATCAAGGACACGTTCATCATTATAAAGAATTATTAATTCCAGTTCAAGAATAAGATCAAAGTCATCAAAAGTTACCACCATGAGATCGCACTGGTCTTCCTAAAGACCCAGTTTAACAACCACAACCGCCACGCCATGTGTTGACTGGCCACCGAATTGATAGCCTTAACTCGAATTTCGCCCTCATAAATCTCCAAACTCAAATTCATCGCGATCCTGGTTGACAGAAAGTTGTTTGTAGCTCCATTGTCTAGCATTTTCGTCACTACTTGTCCCTGACGAGAACGGGCACATGCATTAACTCCTTTGACACAAATTCATGGGTGGTTTCCATGTAGTTGTAGTGGATTAACATGATGAGTTGCATCTGGCGTAACCTCCTTCTTAGCTTCCTCAAGCATGAAAGCACTCAACTTCTCTCTTTTTGGGCAGTCCCGCACTCGGTGCGGTCCATTGCATATGAAACATTCCATCTGGGTTGAGTTAAATGATGAAGGTGGTGAGGATTACCTTTCCCCTTCTTAGAGTTCTTGAACTTGGGAACGTCTTGGTGTCTTTCTCCTTCTTTGAGACGAAGAAGATGCATTCATGAAAGGATAACCCATCAAAGCATCCACTACTGCAATTGCTGCTGATAAATCCTTAATGCCACGCCTTATTAACTCGGTATGTGCCCATGGTTGCAAACCTTATAGAAAATTTAACAGTTTGTCCTCCTCGAACCTGTTATGAATGTCTAGCATCAGCGAGTTAAACTCTCACTGTTCCACTATGCTTAACTTCTTGAGAGCTTCCCTTGCAACACGAAGTGTTACAAGGTAGGAACTGATCCTTCAGCTCCTTCATGGTTTCCCATGTCTCTATTTTCTATCTTCCCGCATCTTCATCGTCTTGAAAACGCATACTCCACCATAGTTTGGCATTCTCAAAGAGGTACATGCTTGCTATACTCACTCTACCGTCCTCTAGGATGTGTGCTGCTTTGAAGTAATCTTCTATGTCCCATAAGAAATTCTCCAGCTCTTTTGCATTCCTCTAACCATTGAATGCCTTTGGCTCCGGAATCTTAACTTTAGCTGAGCCAGCATTGTCTTTGGAAGAAGACCCAGTGAGGGCTTTCTTTATCAACGAGACATTGTTAATTGTCTCGCTAAGTTCTCCTTTCAATGCATCAAAGTTAGTTGAAAACGGAGAGGAATAAGAAAATAAATCACCTCCCAATAAAGGCATTCAATGGTTAGAGGATAGTTCCACGAGAATTTCTTCGAACCAGCTATCGTGTTGAGAGAATAGTTCCACGAGAGAAGACATCTCATCCCTTCTTTCGGGACTCTGACATAGTTTTCTAATCAACCAGTGTTGTTGAGGCGCACCTGGGTGCTCATCTCAGGCGAGAGGTGAGGCGATTTCGTCCAGGTGCGCCTTGCAAGGTGCCCAAGCGAGCGCCTTCAATCGGGCGCTCGCCTCGGTGCGCCTTTGTGCGCCTCTCGCCTGAGGCCAGGCGATCGCCTCGTTGAAGCGAGGCGATCTGCCTTATTTATTTTAATGTGTGTTTTGCCAAGATGCAGTTTTCACAATGAAATTGAGAACAATTAACTCCTTTAAACAAATCTGGGAATAGATATTTGAGATAGAAGAAACTAGGATGTCCTAGCCTAAAATGCCATAGCATAATTTTTTCTTTAA